CACAATTGAAATATAATTTTATTTTATTTGATATTGTATACTGTGAAATTGGATATTAGTCGGTATTAGCTCTGTACTGTATAAATGAATAATAAAAAATAATATTTTTATAGGTGTTGAATAATAATAAAAAAAATGTAAATACATAATTATGTAATCTGTACTTAACTACAATAATTGGTTATTTTCTCATTTTAAGGGGGGCTTTATTTTCAAATATATTATTTTGGGGGTGGGAATAAATCTACGTTAGATCCCCTCCCCTTGCCACCTATGAATACCCAGTACTATAAAATTGAATTATGACAAATAAATGTAATTGTTTATACAATACATAGAGATAGAGTTTTGCCTATTTTTCGTTTGCATAGACACTACCATTCAGTATGTGGATAGGTAAACGGAACATGACATAATTAAAACAATTAACATAACATAAACTTACCTGTCTCCGTAGAATGTGATCTCTAACAAATGACATCGTTAAACAGTTTACACTTTTAATTAGTTAATGTAAACTGCAAAAGTACAATGTACATTTGTTAGAACGTGTCTTCGAAATTAGGGCAATTTATAACCTAACTTTTAATTAATATTGATTTGTATAATTCGGTATAGTTATGGTTTCGGTATAATTATCGTGGTAATGACGCCAATAGAATTTATTATTTATTTATATACTTTTAAAATAAATAGTTATTAAATGACATAGGGCAACATCTACTTTATAATTTCGATGCAATAGTTAGGCACCCTTGAAATTTAAAGAATGCAACCCAACGTGCAAGGTTTCTTATCACTAGCCGCCCGAAAAAAAATAGTCACCTAGCTTTGGTCACCCAACTTCACACACGTTTATGTTTAGTTATTAAAATTAGTTCTGATTTACTCGGGTTTATCAATGTGATAACACTCATGATAATAATATATTAATTGTATTTTTGAGTGGCTAGAGCACTATATCAATTTTTTTCGTGATTCATCAGTTTTTGACGATCGTATATGTATATAATGAAAATCAAATCTACGTAAAATTTTGCATGTGTCAATGACGTGGTAGTGTCATGGTAAAATTTCAACCAGTTTTTTACTACCATTTTTATTTTTTATGTGAACCCTTTCTCTACATTTGTATATATACGCCTAACCCATGTTTTCACACTCTCTTTTTTTTTACATAATATACCTATGCCTTATAATAAATTTACACTATAAATCCAAATCATACTCATGTACGATATTAGTGTTCCGAAATTATTCTTCACCCGTTCCGTCGTTTGGATGTCATCGGTCCCGCAAGGCCTCAACCAGTACTGAAACAGGGAGGTCTGTTATCGTGGTCTGTCCTTGGATTGGTGCAAGCTGTACCGCTATAACCTCGGCGTCGCGGTCGTGAACGGTCTTGATTGAACCACCATAATATGTCTTGGATTCGAGGTTTATGGTTCGGTTATAGTCGCCTAAATTTGTAAACTTTCTCACTCTTTTTTTTGCTTACACTTTTTTTTGTGGTTGTTATGGTAAAATAAAAAAAAAAAATAATTTATCCATATACTAAAAAATAAAAGCACATAAATGATTATTTATTAATATTACTCTTATTGCACTATTCTATCTCGACACCTTATTCTTAAATGTATTAATTAATTACTATGCATGAAGGTAAAGTGATATCGTAAGATTTTTTACGCACTGAAAGTCGTTAGAATGCTACACGGGTAACAAAATTTGATAATGTACTAGAAAAAATTAAAACTGTTGTAATTGTGCTTGCTGTACATAACTTAAAAATTGAGGTATGATATTCTTATTGTATTTCCTTTTAGTATCTATTTTATTATGCTGATTTTTGATTTACTGAGCTACTATTTCATTAGTACTTCGTAGACTATTTCGAATATTGCAATTCAACATTTGCTTGTGTTTACCTTATTAATTTGACGTGTCTCATTTAAAAAAATGTTTATACGTATATACATGGTATTCTTAATATATATTTACCAAGTAAAATTCAAATTCACATTTTTATGTGTTGTAATAAAAACATTTTGTATGTTTTCATTAGGCAAGCATAGGTATTCGATAAAAATTTTATTTCTTTTCCCACATTTATTATACGTTATATTTATTATATTCATTTTATACTATAATTACAATTATTCTAATGCAGTATTTATCGTTCTTTATATTGTTTTAACTGACTAACATGTCTGTATTCGTTTACTTACTGTCCATTTTTAATTATTTCTACTACATAAGTTACATCCGATATTTAATTCATTATTTTAAACGGGCCGTTGTACCTGTAAGCAAATTTAGATTTTCTATTTTCGTCTTTAACCAGTACTTTTTCGTTTAATTTAAATTTTACCTGTACCTTATTTGAGTCATAATGTTTTTTATTTTTTAAATATCTTTCCGCTAATAATTTTGGGAGTTCGTCTCGAATATTTTTTAATTTTTCTAATTCCAGTAAAATTTCGGGGGATGTTTCTGTACTTATAAAGTTGTGATCAAATATGGATTTTGGATTATATCCGTGTAATGGGTAAAACGGTGTGTTTTTCGTTGTATCATTAATTGCTGTGTTATACGCAAATAGTACATATTTTAAGTATAGACTCCATTTATTTGGTTGTTCCTGTACAAAGTGGCTAATCATTTCTATCAAAGTCCCGTTGAACTTTTCTGTCTGGCCTTGGCTCTATGGACGGTATGCAATTGAATATGTGTTATTTATATTTAGCGCTTTTAGTAAGTCTTTCACCAATTTATTTGCAAAATGTAAGCCTCGGTCAGAGTGTATTTCGCCTATTGCTCCGAATTGTAAAATTATATCTATTAAATATGCGACTGTAGACCTTGCGTCAGCGTTTTTGTATGATTTTGCTATAGCGTATTTTGTAGTTGCGCAAGTTCCTACCAAAATATATGAGTTGCCATTGCTTGGTGGATTAATTGGCCCAATATAATCTATTGTAAATCGTTGAAATGGTATACCAATAATTTTTGGTGATGTTAGCATTTGACCATAGGTCGCTTTTTTATCCGATTTCCTTTTTTGATGTTACATATTTGCGTACGTCTTTATATATAGTGGGCCAAAAATATCGTTGAATACTTTTATTGTATGCCTTGTCTATGCCTAAGTGTCCTGATAAGGGGTGATCATGGAAATCGTTTAAAATTTCATTTTTACGGTTGTCTGGTAATGCTATTAAATTTATAGATTGCCCCTTAGCTAAATGTTTATACATGAGTATTTGGTTTTCATTTATAAAATAATTTTTTGATTTTCTTATCCATATATGGGCTGAAAGTTCTGGGTTCTGTATTGCTTTAATAATATTTGCATATGTATCATCACGTAATTGTTCCAAGTGAGTAGTATATATTTGTATGTTCACAGCCAGCTTTTCCAGGGAAAAAAAAAGTTAAAGGGGGGAATGTCCCCTTGGAGCACTCAGATTTACCGTGTAACAGAATTTCGCACTGATTGTCTACCAAATTTCGTCTCACACAAAAAATATTTAACATTTACCAATTTTAAAACTAAAATAATTATTTCAAGAAAAACACAAATTATTAAATTATAGTTTTTTTATTGTTACAAATAAATTCTTAATTTTATTTACACAAGTTTTCTTACTTCTCTAGTAAAAGGTACATATTCTACAATACGATCATGAATTAAGAAACAGTAAGCAGTCACACCTGTGAGCGATTCTGAAGCTTCAATTTCCAATTGAACATCCACTGCTGAGGCTGTGGCTGAATCGTTGTGTTTCGAAGTATCGACAACTATAATTGGCGCGTTTGTCAGAAAAGTAGAATTACTCAATATCGGGTTACGAATACTTTTTTACTAGTACGATTCTTGAAACGATGTATACATATTATATAATAAGGTGAAATTATTTTTAGTAAAATCTAAATTCAAATTATCGTATGGATAAGCTATAGAGTTCAGAAATACTTTAACGTTTGTTAAATTACAATGATCAAATATACTACAATCTTTTGTTAGCAAATTTTTGCGTCCTTTTTGTAATCCAATTATGATAAATCGTGGTTTTTCTAATTTTGAAGCAGTTTTCAAATTCCATACAACTTTTTTATAACTAAGAGTTGAAAATTTAAAACAAAGGTTCTCTTAAATAATTCATACTGTAACCAAAAAATCTAAAAAATATATAAACACACTTATTTTTTACAGACATTTTAATTTCAAATTTAGACAAAATTTCATATTTAAACCAAGAATTACGATTTTAGTTATTTTGTTGTGATTGAATAATATTATTCGTGGGTACTTGAAACTTCTAAAGTGTACTATTATATATCTATGATGGTATCACGGTTTTTGTTGATGTATAACGCGTTATAAGTATCTAATGGATATTGTGATATAATTAATTTGGAATTTATTATAGGTACCTATTATAGGTCAATTTTTTGTTTAATACCATAGATATGTATATAATATGCCTTATACATAGACTGACATACCATCACCGCTCAGAATCGTTTTTCTTATGCAATATTATGATATTATATCATTGAATTCAAATTTAATACCATCCATTATACAGTGACCCACTTGTAACCTACTGTACAGCAGAGCGACACCCACTTGCCCACCTTTTTTTTACAATGATTTGTGTTTTTTTTTGTGTCTGTGTACAGCATAACTAGTCGAAATAATGCTTCAACTTCGGGGGTGGTTTCCGATGACAAAGTGAATATCGTCATTATATTACATCGATGAGCATCTGACATTATTTTTTTTACGAAATCACGTAATCTAACGATTTAAGCTATTATCTACTTAACATTTTACATTTTAATTTCAGGCTACGATAATAGGATATAGAACAAAAAAAATTTTGTTTATCGGTATAAGAAATCGATACTGCGTTATTTGTCAAAAATCGTTAAATAAAAAAGAGCCAATACCGACACACGTTTGTTTTATGAACTGGTCTAAATCTGCGACAGGCATGGAAGCTGATGCTGTAATGGAAGGATTTAAACGGAGTGTGGAAATGCACGGATTAAAATATGATAAAATTATAGGTTAATAAAACTTAAAGTGAACCAAGACATTCAAAATATATATTTAAACTGTATAATTTTTATATTATTTTTAGGCGATGGAGATTCTAGTGTAACAAAACGTTTAAAGGGAAGTATGCCATATGGACCCAAGTTCATAATTGAAAAAATAGAATGTCGTCATCGGCGGAGTACGATTGCGCGCGTTTTACCTTTTTAGGTATACGATTGCGCGCAGTGCCCGAATAACAAAAGACAACATTTTAATTACTCAAAGGCGTACGATTGCGCGTGAAATTGGGTGCGACGTTGCCAAATGTATTACGTAAATAATAAAAATACAAAAAGTTAAAAAAAAAATAATACAAAATAAAGAAATTTAATAATTGAAAAAATATAATACTCGTAAATCAATATTTATATTAAATTTTAAACCCCCGATACCTATTTCCAACTATGGCCAAATACTTTAGTAAATTTTCTGGTGTTTTATTGTTTACATAATGTTTGTGTTCATTTTTCAAATTTTCAATTTTCCTTGATTCTTCATTCGATTTTGGTTTTATTATACCTTTGGAAATGGTTAATAATTTGGTAACTATTTCTGCCTGAGGTTCCATAAGGGTAGCTATAACGACAAATATTGGTGGATGAGCACTATTAAACTGTGCATTATATGTACTATGGAAACTTTCAGCCCCGTTTGTAGTCCTAAAAATAAATAATATAATATTATAGTTGACACACTTTTTTTTAAAACTATTATTAGAACCGAACACAACTGATAGTCAATTGATATAGTCACATCATGCACGATTATAGTATAGGTATATTCGTACATGTATGGACATTTACAATAAAGATAATATTTTTGATACATAATATAACCAATTCATTCTTAGTGATGGGAAGTTTGTCTGATATCGGCAAAAATAAGTAATAAATAATCTACTATAATCTACTATGGTATCCTACGGATTTACCATGGACCTATATATTTGGCAACGTTGCTTAAAAGTTAAAATAATATAGCGCGCGCAATCGTACGCTTAAAAAGGTACCGCTGATAAGGACCGCGCGCAATCGTATCGCGCCCGTCGCCGTCGTCATCATTTATTACGAAATTACGGAACAAAATTAATGGCTGTTATAAAAAATATCAAATATCCTATAATCTTGAGAAAACACATAAAAAAAAATTTGAAGCGTTTTAGATTTGCGATTGTAAAATCAATTGATTACAGAAATAAATTGCAAAATCAATCCACAAGTCAAAAGATAAATGGTAGGTATTATAGGTAAAATTAAAGTAATTTTAAATTATTTGTATTTATTTAATTTTTTAAATTATTTAATTTTATATAGGATTACCTAAAGATATCAACAACAGTTTTCAACACATTTTGGGTGAACATAGTCAATGCGAATTATATTTTTGTAAAGGTGCGAAAGAAAATGAAAAAAATTTATTGAATGAAGCACAACAATCTGGCATGGTTCAAGAAATTGTACAAATCATCGGACGATTAACAACTAATGCTAATAGTCTTTTGATGAACGTAGACAATAATGTATGCGAGCAGTTCAACAGCATTATAAACAAACATTTAGCTGGAAAACGTATCAACTTTTCTCAGCGTCATTCATGCAATACACGAGTGGAAGCTGCTGTTATATCACATAATACTGCTGGACAACTGTTGAGATGTTTACATAAAAATGCTGTGAATGATATAAGTCCAGGTAAGTTATAGTCTTGTTAAATTTATCAGAAAGTAATTGACAGATGTCAAAATAGCTTATAAATAATAAATATTAATCAACGCTCGTTTTTCGTACTCTTATCGTTAGAGCACGGATTTATATGCATTAAAAACCAACCGAATATGCGCTAAAAAATCTTAAATATGCATAAATATATGCATTAAAAAAGTTTAATTTTTTTAAATCCTTACCTGTCATAAAAAACATTTTGTGCTCACTTAGCATATCATACGATCAACCAGAATAAATATACAAATGCATACAAATACGCGCTCTACTTATCGTTAATTACTATCCATCGACAAATGTTGACTGTTCCCTATTAGTAAATTAATGTATAAATTAATATTCGAAAATAATTTTAAATGTAATAAATAATAATTTACCGATAAGTAATGTAGGTACAAGAAGAATAAGCGAGTAATCAATAATAAATAATAATATACCTATTAATTCATATAGGATGTGTTGGGAAAAATTTTTTGAAAGCCAAATTAAAAAAAAAAGCTCTTTCTAAAAATAGAAGAACACTTTTTCCTATAAAAAAAGGAATAGGAAAAAAATTAACCTTTGGTCCAGACGAGCATTATGGTTTAGCTGAACCTCTCGTCGACGAATTTACAGAAAATGATATAGAATCAAAAAAACTGACATTTTTAAGTTCCCTTGTTCTTGATGAAAATGGTAGAATAATATTAGAGGAAGAAACAAGAGAACAACACAATTCTTCTCGGTGGCACGCTGAAAGAAGAAACCGTCTCACAGCATCAAATTTTGGTAACATATGCAAACGAAGACCACAGACATCATGTAAAAAACTTGTTTATAATTTACTATACCATCAATTTTCTACTAAAGCCACGGACTATGGAAAATCTATGGAACCTCAAGCAATTAAAAAATTTGAAGAAATTAGTGGTAAAAAAATAATGTCTTGTGGTCTTTTTATTGATGAAAATACGTCTTATTTTGCCGCCACGCCTGGTAATATAATTTTTAATAAATAAATTGTATTTTATTTAAATAATTAAATCGTAGATACTTATTAAATACGTTTTATAATATTTTCAGATGGATTAATAATTGAAGATGACTCATTAATTGAGATAAAATGTCCCTATTCTGCCAAAGATTATTGTAGTTGTATTGATGCTGTGAAGGATAAAAAGGTACCTATAAAAATGATAATATTAAATTAAATTGTATTGTATTTTAGATTTTTTTTACAATTTTAAATTTTAGTTGCCGTTTTTAAAATACGACAAATACACTGAAAACATAAAATTAAAATCTGATAATAATTATTATTATCAGATTCAGGGTCAGATGCACATTTGTAAAAAAAAGTCATGTCACTTTTTCGTTTTTTCTGACAAATGGACTTATCATGAAATCGTGATGTATGATCATGATTTTTGGTTACAAATGGAAAAAAAATTAGATCTGTAAGTATCTGTAAATTATATTAAAAATTAAATTCTATGCTATACAAATTGTAACCTAATAGTGTAATATATAAATAGTAGATTATATAATGAAGATAAAATATTAAGATGAAAAGGATAATCAACATGTAACTATACTATGATTTTATTTCAGTTTTGATCAAGAATGTTTATTGCCAGAGATAATTAATCCACAGTACAGTAGACGAATGTTTCTATCGGATATTAAAGATCCACCACATATAATAACTGCGAAAAAGAAATAAGTATCTAGATACATCCAATGCCAAATTATTATTATTATAAATTATAAAATAAAAAATTAGGTTATTCAAAAAGTATTATTCATTGAAACTTGAAACAATCCACTGTTACTTAAATCATAGTTTTCAATAGGCGCTCAATGAAATTTTCCAAAGATTTATTAATTTAGAATTAGGTTAAGCGGTTTTGGTATATTATGCTGTTTATATTTATTAATATCAACTACCTATTTAAATCATTACTAATAGATACGTAAATAGGAGAATAATCAACTATCGTATGAAAAGTGCTTCAGATTACCTAAAGTTAAAACGTAAAAGACCCAACATGGTTACTAAAAGATGTATTTATTCATAACGAATTTATATTTAGTGTGTATTTTAAAAAAGTAATTACTAATAAGGTTACAAATGTAAATCAAGCCATCTGGCTAAATTTGTTGTAATTTATGTATTGAGACACATATTTAAGTAAACAAGAGCTTTCATTAAAAAGTAAGTCTAGCGAGGATTGAGAGCGCGGCGTACTGGTACTAAATACATGGGTGACGATTTACGCAATGGTCATTGTCAATATTGTATGGACCCGCTCAACCAGACTGTTCGTGAAATAATAATGCGCCTCTCCTGCGAGTATTCCGCGTAGGTTTTGCCACGGAAACAATGGGCGTGGTTATGTCCAGCCGCGACGGCGGCGATACGGCGCACAACGCCATCTCTGGAGCGTTGTATACGTAACGCTTTTACTATTGCACACTCTTAAGTGAAAGTTTAATTTCATTATAATTTTTGTTTTTAATAAAACTTAAAATATTTTCGAAACAACAATTACTAATGAAATGGAAGTTAAATGATTTTAATTGATTATGTTTTTTGTAATAAACATATTTTGCAACATTTTCGTAACAACAATTATCCAATATTTGATTCCATAATATATTACTAATTTCAGAATCAATATTAATATCAATATCACTATCATTAAATATAGGTCTTAGGATTTTACGTTGTTGTTCAATCATATTTAAATGTGTTTTCATATTTTCCATTTCTATTATTTATATTAGTAAATATTTTTTTAACATCGAATTATTAAAACAACGAGTTGTTAAAAAACAACATTAACGTAAAAAAAACAACGTCAACGAGTTAATGTAAAAAAAACAACGACTCCTTAACAACTCGTTTACTCGTTTACTCGTTAACTCGTTTACTTCTTGACTCGTTGACTCGTTAACTCGTTGTTAAATATATATTAAACGAGTTGTTATTTTTTAATAGAAATATTTCTATTAAAAAAATAAAATATTTAAATAAATTTTTTATAATTTTCAATAAATTCTAAACATAAATGACCACATATAGGTGGATCATTATAGTATTGAAATTGGGAAACAGTACAAAAAAGATTATCTTTACCCAAATATTTTAAAAGTTCTTTTGGTGGCTCACCAACTATATGACCAAATGGATCAAAATATATTTTAAATGTATTGTTTATTTTTTTCCATGCAACCCAATGAGAACCATTTTGAGTAGAATCATTTAAATTAAATACTCCACATTCATTTTCCCATGGTGTTGTAGGTAATTCATTTAACATAAAACACCCTCTATAATTTTTTATTTTATTTCCAAAATAATTTATATCTATATTACTCAATGGATCAATTTTTACATTATTTTTTTTAATCCAAAACCGTGTATAAATACCTTCAAATTTTTCAATATTATTTCTAAATGTTGTTATTTCAAATTTATTCATTTTTTCAATTTTTTTTTCAATATTTTTTTTTTTTTTTTTTTCAAGCCAGAACCTTGTGATCTATTTTTTTCCATCTCTTTATTATGTCGAATTGTTTCTTGTTCCATTTTTTTTTTGTGTTTAGCATCAGTTACTGCAGTATAAAGTGCACTAGCACCTGCAGCCAAAGCACTTACACCTTCAACCACAGCAATAGCTATTGGTAAAAATCCACCTTTTTTAATTTGAACATGTTTAAGTTCTAAACTTGATCCGGTATTATTTTTTTTAGCGTTTTTTAATTTTCTTATTTGTTCTGGCTCAAGAATAAATTTATGTTTTCCACTATCAATTTGATTATTTTCAATTAGAATTGATACATCTTTATTATTTTTATGAGCTTTCAATATTTTATTAAATTGTTTTTTATTTAAATTTAGATTCATTTTATAATACAAAATATTAAATTAAATTAAATTAAATTAAATTAAATTCATTCCAAATCGTCTTTTAACATTCATAACATTTGCTGTAAAAATGGCTGCAGTTTTTTCTCCTATAGAACTATGAGGATCATAAAATCTTTCCATTGCTTTTTGTTCTAAAATTTTATCAGCAATATGTCTTGTTTTAGTATCTTTATTATCTTTATAAAAATAATCATGTTCTCTCGCAGCTTCATCTAATTTGTTTTTAGGTTTTTTATTTTTTTCTAACTTTGTTCCCGGTCCTAAATAATTATAGCCAGGCCAATGCATTTCAGGTAAATTTGAACAATTCAAAAGATAATTAACAATTCCTGAACCTGTAATAATTTTCTTTGGTAAACATGAAACATATGATGATAAATAATCTGCACCGTTAATAGGTATATCAATTAATTTTTCCATTTCTCTAATACAAATATTAAGAATATCAAGTTTTTCATCATGGTAAATATTATTTCCTATACTTTCTTCAATTGATATATACTGTATACGTTTAATTATTTTTTCTTTTGATATTTTCACTTCCTTTGGTAAACAAGTTACATATTTTAGTAAATATTCAATACCTTCAGGAGTATCAATAAGATTTTCCATAATTGATTTAAATAAATGAACAATACCAAGTTTTTCGTTTTTAAAATTATTATTTCCAGCTCTTTCTTCTGAAGAAATAAACTGTAAATTATCTATCACTTGGTTTACATTACTAATATAACGATATTCAATACGATTTTCTGTGTATTTCTTGAAACCCTCCCCTATTTGATTATCTTCAGCTAATATTTCATTATTTTCTTTTTTTTCAATAATTTCATTATCTTCATTATTTTCTTTCTTTTTCTTATTTTTTTTCTTATCAGTTGTTTCTGTCATTTCTTTCCAAATCGAACTAATCATAACCCTATATTTTTCACTACGACTTGATTTAGCTCTTTTCGTTGAAGGATCATTGTTTTGATATATAGAATTAGTTTCAAATAATATATTTTTATAAATATTAAATTCATCATCATTATAAAATTGTTTGGGTGTAGGAACTTGATGAGTTAATAATCTCCATAAACCTGGTGTTCCTATATATCTTTTTTCATTTAAAATTATATCATCATTATCAAGATCGATTATATCTTTTCCAATCATATAAATATCATCTTTCTCATTAAGATATATTCCAAAAGAATTAGTATCTTTTACAGTTTTTAAATATTTTGATGCAATAGGACCTAAGTTTATAATATTTTTAGGTAATGGAGAATTACTTGTTGAATTTTGACTAGAATATTTTGGAGTTCCAAAAGTCTCTTCTGAACTTGTTAATCGTTTTAATTCTGGATTTCTAGGTTGTATATTTAATTTTTGAATATCTCCTTCAGTTTTAATAGCAACATCTTTAACTGCATTCATTGTTGTATTAACATTTGTTAATGCGTTTATTATTGGTCCAAACTTTTTTGTTGTTCTTCAAGTACATGTTTTTGTTTTACAATTGTATTTCTAAATCTATCCTGTAAATCTTTTTTAAGATTAATTATTTTATTTACATCTGTAGATTTATATTGTTTTTTTTCTTTTTTAATATTATCTTCATCGTCATCATCTTTTTCTATAATAACAGTCTCTTTTTTATTAGGTTTTAATAATACATCTTTAAACCTATTTTGTAATTTATTTTTAGTATTAATTATTGTCTGAATCTTTACATCTGATGTGTTTTTTAAACTATTTCCTACCTTGGAATTGTTTTGTGTTTGATCATCAAATGAAACATTTTTTTTAATTTTTTTTTTAATTCTTTTTGAATTTGTTTAATATCCATTTATTATACAAAAAATTAAATTAAAACATAATCATTCATCGATATATAAAATCTCATTACCTTTATTGTCATAGATTAAATTTTTATCAAGTCTATTGTTATGAAACCATATGTTTTTATTTTACTTTTTTTATCATATTTTTTACAATAAGTTCTATTAATTTCTTTAAATTTTTCTAAAGCTACATCTTCACTAATCAAATCGGACCATATTTTTTCAATATAATAATTTGATTGATTAAAAACAATTAAAACATTCAAATTATTTCTTATTGTTTTTATATCTACTGAAGTATAACTTTGTGTTAAATAAATAACACTAATATTCTTTGATCTTGATCTTATAAAATATTCAATTATCATGTCTTGTTTTTCTTTTAGAAAATCATCAAAAATCACTAAACTATTTGGTTCACAATCATCTACAGATATTATTTCATCATTAGAAAAATGTGTGGTTATAGAAGGTATATCATCAAATATTTTTTTAATTTTTTTATAGACTGGTTGATCAATATTTTTTGTAAAAATATATAGATTTAAATAAGGAATCCAATAATTTATAATCAGATTATACAACAAGGTTGTTTTACCACAACCAGATGGTCCTATAATTAAAACACGTGAAGGTAATTCAAATAAAGATTTTTTTTTATTTTCATCTTCAATAAAAAATTTTACTTTTACTTTATCCATTTATTAAAAAAAAAATATATATTTGTTAATATAAATAAGAAATGGAAAATATTTTAAATAAATATGATGATAATATAATAAATAGTCAATATGAAAGTTATATACCTCAAATTACAACAGAATTGAATAAACCAAACCGAAATACAATAGTTATAGTAGATGGTAAAGATAAATTTCTGAACATTAAAAATTCAAAACTTTATTTATCATTTGAATATGTACAAGAAGATGGTTCTAATTATCCAGCAAAATCTAATGT